TGAAGAAAGCATTGAAAAATACGTTTTCAAATAATGAGAGCAAGGCAATGATTGTAGTTTCATGAAACTATAAGCAAATAAATTGTATGGAAAAGTCATAAGGACTGAGTTTACATTATAACTATTTAATACTGCAGTTAGTAACCTAGAAGTACAAGGTAAGCTTTTGTTTAAATACTTTTGAAAATATTGTTTGATTCAAATTTGTCATTTTGTTGTAAATTACATATCTATGCTGATAAGATACAAAATTTTTTAGACCACGTGATATTGAAAATTACAAGCAATCTGAAGCATTCTTTTTTTTTAGCGTGAGCACAAAGTAGCTCGACAGTTTGTGCTTTCTGGCCACTGTTTCAGATTTGATAACATACACCAATTTAAATTTGTATTGAAGAAAAACTGTATTGTTTGTTTCTAGACATACATCCAAATGCATTTTCTGAAGAACAAAATGTCAAATTTTCTCGAACTATTCTTACGCACATCCGCTTTTTCTAGAAAAGATATACGCCGGTCCTCTCATGGTTTTTTAAAATATAGTTACAGTTAAAAATATGAACTTACTTAAAATGTGCATTTTTGGACATCCTTCGCGTGCTTTAATTATTTTGTCATTCGATTGGATTTACGTTTACGAATATTTGTCTATTTCGTTATTCAATTGTTATATATATAATTGAACAAAATAATTTTCCAGCATTTACTGTCATATCAAGAGTAAAAAAAATTAATTTTCTTGCTATGTATTAGTTGGATCCTTCCTTTAAACTAATAATTGTCTCTACACTTTTTCAATTTTAAATACCATGATAAATACTTCAAGACCTTAGATAAGTAAAGTAATAGATAAACTCTTTATTTTAGAGGCCCTATAATAATTTCAGGTATTTCAATGCATTACTATTTTAAAAATGTTACATTTCAGGTGATGCATACTGAAACATTTTCATGATCAAGAAATGCGTAACTTTTCTGTCTCAATTGGCAATTGATTGCTTTGTATTTGGGCTAGATTAATTCCTCAAAGTACCAGCTTGAAGGCTCTTCTCATTTTCTCGTTATTTCGGGTATAAACAGCTAGATAATTCGTTATTAACAATAAATAATTCATCATAATAAGGAAATCGGTAAAGTAGAAACTCTGGTCGATATACTGAATGCCTTACTCTTACGTGAATATCGTATCAGAAACGTTTTTTTGAGAACCACATCAAGTTGTTAGACTGATTCTATATTTTAAATCTTGTTGAATATCAGCACTCTACTGTTTTCTTTAATTTTTTAACAGCCAAAAATATAGTCAATTGTTCACCTAGATCAAAAATTTAAATTCTCATTGCTTGCTAACAATGGCAAATTCTTCACTTGCCCATCTTATAGGTGTGTAACGTACCATTTTTTGCTATCTTAGTTACTATTCAACGGTAGTTTTAATGTCCACGAATACTATTTAAAAATTATAAAAGGAGGAGATTTCATCACCTGAAACCCGATTTTTACTTGTTTATTCACTTGTTTATTCTTCTTTTGGAGTAAATGGATTCGAGTATCTACTGAAAAATGCATATTTCCAAACTACATATCGCCACAAATACTCTGTTTCTTGGAACTTACGAATAAATGGCATCCTATCTTCTGGACTTACACTTTTTGTAAAACATATTTGAAAGTTCTTCGATTAAGGAGGCTCCATCATGGAATGTACAAAAACTTTGAATGATATATTTTCAAAGTTCAGATTACGCTGAATCCAATGGTATCCTTATGCTTGTGAGTTTGTCATCAAAATCTCGAGATAATTCAATTTTAAATTAGCACTTTTCGAGCTCACTTAACACAGCCTATTATGACGGAAGGCTTGAAGCAAAATTTTCATGATCAATTAAACTACTAAAATGAAATGTACAAGCAAAAAAAATACGTACCGTACAGCTGAGATTATCATCTTTAAAAATCGGGTGACTTAATAGGAGTTAGCAATGAAAAAGTTGATACAAAACTTACGCTCACAAATGCAGTCTTACAGTGCACGAGCGTACCCATACGGGTGTGAAGCTTCAAACTTGCAGAGTTTTACCCGAAAGAGTCATCTTGCAAGACATGAGCAAACCCACACGAGTATAAAACCCTATGAATGCTTTGAATGTACAAGAACCTTTGTTAATAAAAGTCATCTTCGCAAGCACATGGGGGTACCGCATATACACCACTGCACCCAGTGTGAACTAACTTTTGTCCGGATCAATGAGCTCAAGAAACAGTTGAGCAATCAGCATTGATTTTTCACTTAAAAAAAAACCTCAAGTAACTCTGGGTGACAAAATAATTTTTTAATACAAAAAGTTAAACCTGTGGAATGATTTGCTTGAATATCATCTGTAAATAATTGTGTTGCCATTACGATGTGAGAATGTTACTATTCTTTTTGAAAAAATAAAAACTTTTGACAATTTATTGGCAACATACTCATGTATTTTTTATGTACTCAACCTATTAATAATGTTATTATATATTAAATCATAATAATTTTGTAACAATAAATAAATAAAATTATCTACCAACATACCAAATTTTCTAGAATTTTCTATAAATAAATCTTTTTTTGAAGAGAGTTTTGTGATCCTAATAAGTTTTTAACTTATAATATCTTTAAAAAAAAGTGTTTTTCTGACTTCTAACTTCAAAATAGCACCTTCGCCGCTTGATTTTGGGTTCTCAGGAGGAAAAATGTATACAAAACTCGTTCGAAAAGGCTTCTTTACAAACCTCGTTATGGCCCTCGCCTTTGGCTCGTACCGTAAACCTCCCAGTTCGACATTCGAAGCCTTTGCCAACTCGTTTACGTAATATACTATTAACAAATCAATAAAATGGAAAAAAAAAAAAATGGAAAATTACTATTTAATCAAAATTTTATTCTTTAGCCGTAGTAGGTATCTAAGGAGAATGAAAACAATCATTTTAATGAATGTAGTTACAAAATACGATTGGTTATGTACAAATGCCTAGTTATGCCCCACACAAATTACCATATCTTATTTTTTTCAATTATATTAAAGTATATTTTTTAGATTTTCTAACATAAAACATCTTATAATAACAATGACAAACTGACTAAGCAACTTTCTTAGAAAAGTTGATCTTTCCGAATCGATAAAATTGGAGAATAAAAAAAATAATGGATGAAACCTAAATCTTATTACTCAGCAACGGCAGGTAGTATTTAAAATTAAAAAATTAAGCTACGGCTTATGAGAATCGGAAAGATAACTCTGAGATGTTACTTATTACATACTTGCACACGTACACACACATATGACGAATTTTAAAAAGCAAAATTATGTTAGATCATCTCAATATGTGATTTTTTATCCCTTACAAATCTTTTAGTATTAAAACAAAAAATATACGTTATCTTTTTATTTTTCTATTTTAAGTAACTATTGCCACATTATTCACTCCTTTTTTTACCTTATGCCAAATAATTTAAGTAAGATTCGTAATTACTCTAAAGCAAGAATGTTGGTAGTAGTTTATTCTTAAGGCACTGAATTATTAGAACGACCGTGCCAAAAGATTGTCTGTTGTATCCAAAGAGACTTAATATTTTTAAATTTTGAATATTAAATTATTTATTAAAAAAACATATAGTTGATTTATAAGCTATATACTGTATGAACAAAAATTCAAGAAACAATGTAGACACTTTTATATCTTCTGTTTTGAGTGTAAAATAAATTTTGAACGTTAAGTGAGGGTGATCTGAGTTGGTCACATGGCGTATGTGTAGAAGTATATATTATAACATTATCAAGTTTATCGACTAACTCTAGTAATTATAATCCAAATGGGCTAAAATTTTGTTCGTAACTTCGAGTTGGATGTCTAAGCTGATGGTTTGAATTTCGACAGTATTTTGAGTGCAGCGCTCTTAGACAAAAAATCAGTTTCTTGTGATAACTTCATTTATGTACATTTTATACGTCCACGTTTGTACACAGATTTATATTATCATTAAAATACAACTGTTTTGTTTTACACGTTTTTTTTTCTAGATTGTGCAATCGTTCATACAAATTGCAATAAAAATACTTAAACTTACTAAAATAAAACTTTTTTATAATCTAAGTTTTTCTCAAAGTACCTACTTAACGATTGAATTGTCAAACATCGCTTCAAAATGACAAAAAATCAATTATTTGCATCATTTAATTTTTGTACACTACATTTTTAGACAAAATATTTGATACAAAAATTATAGACTTTCTAAAAATGCACTTGTTTGTATTGAACTATTTTATTTGTAGTGTGGTTATACAGTTAATAACGAAAAACGCTATTAAAAGGTTAAAAAAGCATTTTGTCCTGCATGCAAATTTATTATTTTAAATTTCGAGTAAGCATATATGTGTTAAAACTCAGTGATAAATAATAACAGAATTATACAAAATTGGATACTGTTTTAATCTTGTTTTTTTTAAGTAACACCTTTTGCTCTGACGCCTCGTGGATAGGTCATGCCTCAAACGCAAGAGGAAGTATTTTGTATGCATTTAGCCGCTTTTGATCGCTGGCACGCGGAACACGCAGGAGGTGAAGCCACATATTACTAAGTACACATAATGTAGCACTCAAGATTGTAATACATGTATAGGGCAGGCCCTTTAGCACTATAAAACATCTCCACTGTTTACAAATATACATTCCGGACAAATTTGGGTTGTACTGTAACTTTGTCAATAAATCTGACGGAAAATAATAAAAAATTTAATAAATGAATAAAGTAATTTTTTCATTGCCAAATCTGTTATACACTCTGGCCTACAAAAAAGTATCTTCTTCTTGAGAAAATACTTATTATTAATAAATTTGAAGGCCGTCTGTGGGATTTTAAGGAGAATATTGGCAAGATCAAAATTACTTTTTAATCTGTTTCCCAGGATTAAAAAAAAATTACTTAAAAAAAGTAGTCACTTTAAACGTTACAAAGAATCGCTTTACGTTCTGTAGTTGAAACTACCGAAAATTTTTGGCAACATATAGCGGTTATACCATTGTAATTGTTGTAGCTGCTGTACTTGTAGATGATCTAGTTTTATTGGCAGCTGCTGACGCTGCTGGGGCTCTTGCATTAGCTGTGCTGGTGAATACACTTCTTGCTGGAGCTGTTGCATATGCCTTAGTTTCTCTGATTCAAGCTCATTCACTTTCAATCTACAATTAATCAAACAATTTAACCAAATTTTTTTTAATGCTCGTGCTTAAAAGTGATAATTAAAAAATAAATAATGACTAGCTCTTATATTTTTGGCACTTGCAAAAATTTATCATCAAAATGGTAAGATGCTTGTCTGTGCATTTTGAAGTTGAATCAAAATTTTCGTTGCCAACTCTTGTCATGTAATCGTCTAATGGCTGTGCATTAAAGACTTACTCCGGTGAACAATTTTTTTTTTTAAATGCGTAAGAATTTTAACTTTTATTCAATGTTTACACTAGTTAAAAACTTTACTAAGTAGTATTTAGGACAGTATTGAAAGTAAATTTTGTAGATATCTCTGTAAAATTAATACCTATCATATAGTACTGTAATAAACTGAATACAGAAAAAAATTTTCAAGCTGACCATTACTTTTATTTATATTTTCATGTATTTACTTCGTAGAAATTTTAACGATGTAATGAATAATGAAATCTTGTATTACCTGGCATCGTTATAACAAGTAGATGGATTGTAGTAGACATCACTGGTTCGAGCCACATGTACCAAGGACCCAGAGCTTGTAGGATGCGGCATTCGTTTTAAAATTCCAAGCTGTTGAGTTGCCGGGATGTATGGATGCAGCGATGGTGTCTGCTGCATTTCACGAAAATGCAATGGCCGTCGGGGAATCAGTGATTGTTGTACGTGTTGATGGGGAGTAAACGTTTGCTGATACGGAGGCAATGGCTCTTGCGGTATCTGCGATGGCAGCTCATTTTGGAGCAATTTGTTAACACCGATAGCGCCCAACTGGCCGAGTGCTGCTGTAGATGGCAGCGATGTACTTTTTTTAGAAATGTTTTGGGTATCAGGGCAACTTTCGTGGTCTTTCTTGAACTTCATTCTGCGGTTTTGAAACCATATTTTCACCTGAGGTTCCGTGAGTTTTAACTCTTGTGCCAAGTGAAATCGATTGAACCGGCTCAAATACTTGGTTGTCTCGAATACCTGTTCGAGAGTAGTAATCTGCATCGATGTAAATGCCGTCCTGCTTCTTTTCTTTTTACATTGGTCTGGAAATATTAAAACACACGTTTTGTACACCCTTAAAAACTTTTTTTAATGCAAAATAATTATGTGAATATTATATTTACTTTTCATTTCCTTATGTTGACGCTTGGGCTCCTCAGCAATATCATCTAGCTGTTTTGAATTCTGAATCTCCATTTTGTCTAGGACGATAACTTTATATTCTAATTTTAGTAAAATTATTCCAACTTGCAAGAGACACAGGGCTTGAGCACTGTCTTTGACGATTTAAAGATTTTCTATCGGTGATATGTTCACGATCACGATAATAGATTCTTACTGACACTTTAAATGTACAAGTTAGAATCCTGAGCTAACACTGAACTTATTTGTAACGCATAGCCAAACGGTTTTAAACATACCATTCGTTACTTTCTACTGTGAAAGGGATTATAAGCCCATTAGCTGTTACTTCTTGGTAAACACTTAATAGGCAGTGTTGTCGCCGTTAAGTACATTCTGTGAAAAATTTCTACTAATAATTAGCGTTGGAAATTAAGCTATGAGTATAACTGACGTGTACCGTATGGTGATTACTGTATGAGTAATGACTTAAACATCAGACTATATCGATATACGTCGTTTATCAGATCCGTAGTGTTTGAGTTTCTGAATATTACAAATCTAAAAATTTAAAATTACTATAATATTCCAAAATACTTAGTACATTACATAAATTTTGTTGAACCTACTCTCACACATCACCAGGGCAAGCACTATAGGTCTTTGCCCGGTTTGGATGCACACCAGGTGCAAACCCTATTTTTCCTAGTGAGAGTTCAGTAAACACTTTAAGTAGGAAAATATAATTTATGATGATTAATAAAAATCTCCTTGTTTTTTTGCATTAGAGATAGAAAAAATCGATTTCTGCTAAGATTTGACGAATATTTTTTCACCGGACTAATTGACATGAAAATATCGGTACAAACAATAGGTAAAGTATCCATTCCATCATTTTTGAGGTTATTGTTTCCAAGGGGTAATAAAATTTTTTTAACATTCCATTTTTTATAACATGTTTGCAAAGTAAAAAAAATTTTCTTATTTTTCTTAACATTCCAGTTATCGAAAACCTCACAGTATTTACCGGTATTTACCGACAGTATAGTACATAAATGAGCTCTTGGCAGTATTTTAGGTAGCTTATAAAGCAGCTAACGAAGTTTATGTAATTTTTTTGCTGAATCATGCAAAATTTGACCAAAATTAGTGAGTGTACTTAAATTACTCATCAATCAACTTTTATAAGAACATATAACAAAAAATACTGTTTTCACGCAGTTCATTTAAAAAAAAATGTTATGCTTCTATGTTTAGTGAGGTTACAAATTGTGTGTCTTACAAATTTTAGCTAATGATGTTTAGTTTTTATATTCTGATCGTTCATTTCAAAAATATATTTTCGTAGTGTAATGTACTATCGGTAAATACTGTGAATCGGTGAAATAACTACTTTGCCTATTGTTTGCAAACGATATTTTTATGTCAACTAGTTGGATAGAAAAGAGTTCGTCAAATCTTAGCGGAAAATGGTTTTTTCAGTTCTGATAAAAAAGAACTCGTCGCATGTTCACAAGATTATTTTTACTCATCAAGGACTCTATAAGTAAAGAAAAATATGTTTATCAGGAGTATTTTCTTAGAAAAATTAGGCTCATTGTTGTCTCTCGAAAAGTAAAAAATAAAAGGAGATTTCCTCGTACACCAATGAAACACAGCATAATCAAAGGTCAGTCGAAAAAATGTTGCCTCATAAATGCCACCACAAGGCAAGATAATATAATTATGCAGAGTCATGATGTGTCGTTGTGATTTTCTTGTGGCTGTACAATACATAGAAAATTAAACTGTGATATTTGTTTTGTTCTATACTTTCACAAATATCACAAATAGCTGTAAAAGACAAACGGAGGGGCGAGGTAGCACCAACGAAAGGATATAGAGATAGAAAGAGAGAGAGAAATACGATAAGATTATATTAGATTAGCTTTTTGTTAATTACAAAGAGAGAGAGAGAGAGAGAGAGAGAGAGAGAGAAAGAGAAGTTACACGTGGAAGAAGGCGGTTCAGTTGCATTGATGAATCGAATACTGTATTACTAGAAGTAAGTTATAATTAGATGAAATATAGTGCAAATCAAAAATAAGAAACTCTTCAGCCCTATATAAATTAGCTGTCTGTATCGCTTATTTACCATAGGTTAATCGAATGTGTAACCACTTATCTGTTAAGTGCGGGTTAAGGTAGTATTACACTTCGGTTTCAAAAGTATTTTTTTATGATTTCTTGATTTTTTTTAACAATGTATGTATATCAGGACATCTACAAGAAATATACCGTTTTTATTGTCCACTAACGTAATGGAAAAAAATTTTTTGAGGCACACCTTTGAAATCGGGCTTATTAACTCGTAATGCCATGTACTATAAGAAAAAATTTTGCTCATGGGTTTCAGTGAGGGTACATAACACCCCTTTTCTGCGATCTACATGTTAAAATTATATCCAAACATATTATCTCTACAGATATATATCTTAATGGCCAGAGTTCAAATTCTACTCTGGACAAAAATTTTCATTTAAAAATGAGGCTTTTTTCTTGATGGGATTCGAATTTTAATGAACCTATCGATTAACACCTCACCGATTTTCCTACCGATATCTGACCAACGTATGGCTTTATACTATACGGTGTTAAAATAGCAATGTTTGAGCCCCTTAAGAGACTATGATGAACTAAAAACAGAACAAATTCATACAGACATAATTTTAGCAGGTAAATAGCGAAAAAACGGTGTCACCCTTGCTGAAACCCGTGTTCAAAATTTTTTCCTGATAACATATGACAATAGGAATAAAATGAGCCCAGCTTTAAGGGTGTGTCGTAAAATATTTTTTTTTTTTTTTTTAATGGACAAAAATGGGATTTATTTTGTGGATTTTCTCATTAATACTTTTTAAAATATCTACTCTATGCGTAAAATATTTAAATATAAGTTAATCGTAGTAAATAAACACATAATTTTTTCGCGGTGCATACCGTTTTTTAAAAGCCAAATAACTAGTGCCAATGAAAACTCAAACTCGATCAACTAGGACGAAAATAGATATTTTTTAAAATCCGAGAAATGACACACATTTTTCTAAAATCGTGCCAACCGTACAGGCCCACAGTCCACAGTACACAACAATCTCGCCTCCGATAAATCCCCGTGAAAGAACTCCGGCGTCCTCTGCCTCGCCCCACCGCGCTCCCTTGTCCCATTAAATAAACCAAAACTCCAGGAAATTAAAACTCGAGCACTCCATCCCCTTCCTCCTCTTTCGGCTCCTTTACCTTCGCTGGTTAACAAATTCAACTCCCAGCGACATTAAAAATGCATCTCGCCAGCCGCTCGACTCCCCTCCTCGCCGAAGACGATCACTCGCCCTCTCCCGACTAATCGCCGAGAGATAATCTCGTCGGAGTCTCCCGATGATCTTTCCCTTTCTCTCCCGCTCTTGCTCTCGGCCACAGAAATCATTGGCTCGTACTTTATGAAGGGGAGGGCCTGCCGGCGCTGTACCTTCGTACACGGTATGTATACCCACACGCGCGCGCCCCCGCGCAAGAGATACTGAGACTTTATTGGCGTCTCGGGGCTCAGCTCCGTGCGCAGCCCAAATGAAGATAGAGGGACCTTACCCTTCGCCTGTGACGCTGTAACGTGTGTGAAGATACTGCGGGGTCAGGGAGCTCTGCTCGTGTGGGATTTTTTTCCTACCCGACGTTTAAGTACCGGCACGCGTGCCGCAAGTGTGTATATACACTGCTCGTGTTCCTCTGCTGGTGAGAGTCGACTGTCCCCTTTTTTAAAACTACACCATGTGCCAGACGAGTTGGAGGGTCGACTCTTTTCGAACAAGCAAAAAGGGTTGACGTTTTTGAACTGATAATAGTTACTTACAAGCGTTATCACTGCTTTTTCGTAGTGGCTTTCTCCCTGCTAATTTTCATAATTAATTCTTTTTTTTTTTTTTGTGTAATCCATCGTAAAAATTTTGGATGCAATAAAAGTAGACACTCGGTCAGTCATATGCCCGAGAACGTACTTGATAATCTCAAATTTTCTAAGGCACATCATCAATCATTACAGCGAGAACGGGGGAGACTATGACAGATAGTTTTGGAAGAAAAATTGGTCCGTGTAGAAAATCAGTTTTTAAAAATCTGATTTATTGTTTGGCAAAGGATGTTAGCCACGTCCGCTGACCTCCGAGAACCAAGTTTTGATAAAACTTTGAAATGTAGCTTCTGGCATCACGAAATGAAAAAGAGTACTTAAAGAATGTTAAGAACGGCAGTTCAGAGAAAATACTGTTTATTAAAAAATGAGTTTTTGTTATGACATCGAAAGTGACATTCTAGAATATCTGAACTGCTTACAAGAAATGCGACCGTTGAAATTAAATTTTTTTTAATTAAAACAATTTGTATAAACTTTTATGTTACTCCAACCAAAGCTCTTTATGATCAACTGCAGCTCAGTTGACAGTAAAAACATCGATATACTCAGAACCTAAGCTAAAATCAACAATACATTGTATGAGTAGGTATCTATCAGATTGTTTAAGAATTACTTTCTTAAATCCATACATTAATGTACCTACAGGTGATCCCAATACATGAAAGAATCTGGTGACCAACAACCAAGCAATTAACGTATCCTAGGCTATCTACCGTAGCGTTTGCCCGTATCTTGACAAAGGATAGTCAAATACCATTATTTAGGGATGTCCATATCCTTCGTGACATTATTTGTTAGAAAGCAAAAGGTCCAGCTTCATTCACATATTGAGTAAAAGGTAGAGCAAGTAATCACCCCAAAGCACGCGTCCCACATACCTGATGCCGGAGCACCAACCGTATATCGGCACCAGTAGGACAACCACGTGCTTCAGCAGAGCGCAACATAGGCTCCCGTTCGTAACATACAAAAAAGGTATAGGCGCAGGCGCGAGTCTCTCCCTTCCAGTTTTCTTATCTCGCCCGCGACTCGTCTCCCTCATATACCGGCACCCTCACGCGCGCGAAAAGGAAGTAGGCGCGCGTATTGTACCAAAGGGCGGGGAGTCCCCGAATTTTCCCCGCACGGG